TTATTTGTTCTCGTTCTGTTTTCCTAATGTGTGAGTTCACAGCTATGAATTTCCCTCTGAGGACTGCTTTCATCATATCCCATATATTATGATAAGTTGTGCTAGAATTTTCATTGAATTTGTAGATATTCCTGAATTTCTTGTTTAATTTCATCTGTGACCCATTGGTTGCTGAGTAGAGTGTCACTTAGTTTCCATGTATTTAAGTTTTTTTTTCTGGTTTCTTTTGTCATTTATTTCCTGTTTCATTGCATGTGGTCAGATAAGGTGCATGGGATAATTTCTGTTTTCTTGCATATACTTAAGTACTACCTATGGACCAGTATGGGGTCTATTTTAGAAAATGACCCATGTGCAGCTGAGAAAAATGTGTATTCAGCTGTGTTTGGTTGGAACACTCTGTATATGTCCACCAAGTCCATTTGTTTCAAACTCTGGTTCAGCTCTGTTATTTCTTTGCTAAGTTTTTGTCTGGTTGACCTATCTTTTGGAAATAAGGGTGTGTTAAGGTCTCCTATTAAAGTTGTGATATTGGATATTAGATTTTTCATGTCCATTAAGATTTACTTTATATAGTTGGGTGCTCCCCTGTTTGGTGCATACATTTGTGAGTGTTACCTCTTCCTCTTGAATTTTTCCCCTAACCAGTATATAGTGGCCTTTTTTCTTTCGCTTGATCATTGTTGGTTTGAAGTTGAGACTGTCTGAGAATAGAATTGCTACCCCAGCTTTTTTCTGAGGAGCTGGGGAATGTAGTATCGTGTTCCATCCTTTGACTTTCAGCCTATGAATGTCTTTATGAGTTAAATGTGTTTCTTGCACTCAACATATTGTTGGATTTTGTTTCCTAATCCACTGTGCCACTCTATTTCTCTTAATTGGTGAATTGAGTCCATTTACATTGATGGTTAGAAATGAGATGTATTGACTTCTGGTTACCATGTTATTTACCTTTTGTAGTTTACTCCTTTTTCTCCTGTGTTTCATTGCTTGTCCTATTTAGTTGGTTGCTTCTAATCTCATTCGTGAAGTTCTGATCATTTTGGTCCCTCTCCAGAACATCTTTCAGTAACCTGTGTAGGGTTGGCTTTGTCATCACGAAATTCTTTAGGTGTTCTTTGTCATGAAAGTATTGCACTTCTCCATCAAACTTGAAAGAGAGTTTTGCAGGGCATACTAGTCTGGGGTGGAATTTGTTTTCATAGAATACCTGAAGTATTCTGATCCATGCTCTTCTTGCCTGCATGGTTTTGTGAAGAGAAGTTGGCCGTAATTCTGATGGGTTTTCCTTTGAATGTGATCTGCTTCTTTTCTCTAGTGGCTTTCAGTAGATTATTCTTGTGCTGAATTTCTGGGATCATTACTATTATGTGTCTCGGTGTGTTTTTCATTGGATTTAGGTTCCTTGGC